TTACCCCCAATTCCTTGTATCACTGCTTGGTTTATATGGATGGCTAGGAACAAGATTAAACATGAAGATATCTGGGTGGGAGCTGCTACCATAGCCACCAACTGCCTCAGCTATTTGCAGACATTATATTGTCATGGGAAGCTTCCTGATATACTTCACAGTACATCTCATAGTCTCCCCAAAACAATCAAGTATGCACTCATCCAGTGGATTCCTCCACCTAAGGGGGAAATTGAAGTTAACTCAGATGGTAGTTTTTTTAATTCTAATGATGGTATTGGAGGGGTGTTCAGAAATAGTAATGGCAAGTGTTTACTCTACTTTCATTCTCCTTCCATTGCTCAGGACCCTCTAGAGGCAGAAACAGTGGCTATTTATTGGGCTATGTTAATGGCCCAAAAGTGTAGATTCTCCTCAATTATATTAGAGTCTGATTCTAGGGTTCTTATTGATATTATTGAAGGGAGGTTACCTACTCCTTGGTATCTGATGTAGTGGATTGGAATGATTCACTCCTTGGGAAAGGGATTTAGATCCTCTTACTCACATATATTGAGAGAAGGCAATAAGCCAGCAAATTGGCTAGCCAAGGTAGGACTTCATTCTGAGATCCCTGGGGTAGGCAATTCTACTACCCCCAGCTAGAGTTACTGTTGAAAGGAGACACTGTTGCTCTTCCTTTCATTAGAGTTTTTCTGGTTAAAAGTTTTTTGGGAAGGGACTTGTATGCCCCCTTCTCTTGTCCCCCTCTTTTTTCTTATTTAATGAAGTAGGAGCCACTGTCTTTTTTTATTACATATATATATATATAAATGTTGACAGACATCAAGACCCAAACAGCCAGACACGAAACAGTAGATGGGTGGCAGCTAATAAGAAGGTAGCTGGAGCCTCAAAAAGAAGAGCCCAAGAATCAGTTCTGAATTCTAAGATAAGGAATTTGAAGATTGTCTAACAGTTGTAGAGGGAAAGGAAGGGTAGTGGAGTGCACTGCATGGCTCAAGTTTGAGCCCTCCAAAGCCAAGAAGTTGGCGGGCCTGTCGGCTTCCCTATAATTAAAATTGATTTGGAACTTGATCTCAGTGATAATCTTCTTTATTCTGTAAATCCACTGATTTATGTGCCAAGGGGGGAAGGGGTGGCAGTGACTAGCTCCACCAGGTGTGAAGAGTCTACTTCAGCAATAATACAATTCCACTTGACTTCCTTAGCAAATTTTAAAGCCCAGTGAAGAGCAACAGCTTCTGTTTTCAAAGCATCTTCAGCAATGTAGGGGGCCTTAAAATAAAGCAAAACTTTGCCTGTGTGATCTCTGAAAATACCTCCAATACCAGCTCTCTTATTTGTGAAGTTTCCATCAGTTTTTATTTTAATGAAAGGATGAGGAGGCTTTTCCCATCTAACCTTAATAACAATAGAGTGTTTAAAATCAATATTGGTCATATACTTCAATATCTGAGGGAACTTCTTCCAATTGATCAGCTTATGTAAATAGGACTGGCAGTTAGTTGCCATAGAATCAGAAGGAGACACACTATCCTCATGCTTCACCTTGTTTCTAGCATTCCAAATAAACCAAGCAACAATGAAGGGAAGAGGCATCAGGTTAATTTCCTGCCAGTCTCTCAAACTATCTTTTAAATTGCCCCAGCCCACATTCAACAGGTTCAGGTTACTGTTAGAGTTCAGCTTGTTCCAAACCTCCATAGCAAAATTGCACCAGAAAAAGAGATGATCACTAGATTCTTGATTATTGTTGAATATGTGACATCTTGAGGGGCCTTTCAATCCTTTCAGCTTCAAAATATCATCTGTTGGAATTAAGTCATTTAGTACTCTCCAAGAAAAGAACAACATAGAAGGAGTTAAGAATTTTTGGCAATTTCTAATATTCCACTTGCAATCTTCGCATTTGAATAGACTATTATATACGTCCTTTGAAATGCTAGATCTGGTTCTTTTAATTAGCTGAATTTGCTCTTTTTTATTTCTGTCAAACTAGATTTTAGAGATACTTCTAGCAGCAGAATCTTTCAAGATTTTTTTCAAGGCATCCTCAAACCACTCATTGCCATTCCAACAGTCTTTAACCAGTAATTCTTCATCTTTTCCATTCTGTAGGGGCTCCAATTGATTAGCAGGGCACCAATTATCCTTCCAGAAGTTGATCTCTCCCTTTCCCAGTTCCCAGATAAGATATTTGTCAATCTCCTCTCTCCCCTTGAGCATGTGTGTCCAAATCTTGGAGTCCAACCTTCTTGGTAACCTCTCCAGGGTGAACATTTTTGCAATATTTAGCCATCATGAAGTTAGCCCACAGGCTTTCATTTTGTCTAAATCTGATCCATAGTTTGCACATGCTGATTTGCTGCATATGATGTAGTCCTTTAAAACCCAAGCCTCTAGCTTCATAAGGTTTAGCCACTCTTTTCCAACTAGCCCAAATCATTTGTTTCCTGTTCCCAGCCCAAAGAAATCTATTAAAAGTTCTCTCCAGCATCAAAGTGGTGCTTCTTTTCATGTTAGCCACTTGGAGGGTATAGAGGGGGATAGATGTGAGGATGCTCTTTAGAAGGGTGATCCTACCCCCATTAGAGAAGAAAGAGTTTGTCTACCCCTGAAGGGTAGAATTAATTTTATCTATAACCTCATCAAACTGAGTCTATTTGATTCTTCCTCTGACTAATTGGGTTCCCAGATATGTAAAAGGAATGTTCATGGTAGAAAAGCCTGTGAAATTTGCCATCCACTGCCTGATTGGAATAGGAACTCTCTTGCTTGCAAGAAACTAGCATTTTTCTTTATTAACTTTCAGTCCAGATGCTTGTTCAAATTTGTTCAAGCATTCATCAAGGTATCTAGTTGCAGCCTTGGTTGCCCTTGTGAAAATTAGAATATCATCAACATAAATAAGGTGACTTATATACATCTTAGCTTTGTTGTGATAGACATTGAACCTATTCCTTTTCTCCTGGCCATCAATGAGTTTTGATAGATAATCTAAGACCAGAATGAAAATAGTTGGGGAGAGAGGGTCACCTTGTTTAAGTCTTCTATTTGCTTTGAAAAAACCATGTGCTTTCTCATTTATGAGGACCGAGTTAGCATTAGCCTCAAGCCATATTTTAATGTTCTGGCAGAACTCCACTAAGAAACCTCTAGACTCTAAACATTCCATAATAAAATCCCAATTCACCATATCATAAGCCTTCTTTAAATCCAGTTTATATATCAGATTTCCTCCTCTGTAGGGTCTCTCCAAATCTTGTAATAATTCTTGAGCAAGTAAAATTTTGTCCCCTATACTTATCCCTTTCACAAAAGCTTCTTGATTAGTGCTAATAAGCTGGGGTAGAGCTGGTTGATGTCTATTCACCAGGATTATTCTTAAAATTTTGTTGATTACATTGGTAAGGCTCAGAGTTCTATACTGACTCCAGCAATTTTTAATGGAAGTCTTTGGAATGAAAACAATTGAAGAAACAATTGAAGAAGCACGAAGTAATTAGGGAGAGAATGGCCTTTGAAAAAGTGTTGAATAGCTTGAATAACCTCCACCTTAATCTCCTCCCATGCTTTTTTGTAGAAGTCTGCAGTAAATCCATCAGGACCAGCTGATTTACTGCTGTCAATGGACTGCAAACCTCTTTGAATCTTCTCCTTAAGAATATCTGTCGGCTTTAATTTGGTTGTGAATTGTTTGCTTTCAGAAAATAATTGTTTATCTATGTGGCCTCTGTTAGTATCATTATCTTTCATGAGTTGTTGGCAGTATAACACAACACTTTTAGCAATCTCCTCCTCTTTCCTGATCCAATTACCATTATGATATTTAATACAGTGAATAGTGCGCATTTCCTCTGGTAATTGATGTAAGCATGATAAAATTTTGTGTTTCTATCCCCTTCAGTGAACTTAGTTTTGGCAGCTTTTTGCTTGAGGAAATGGTCTTGCCAATTTATAGCAGCTAACACTTTCTCATTGGCCTCTAAAAGAGCAGTGTCATCATTATTTCCTTTGTTGTGTTCCTCTTCCATAGCCTGCAACTCCTTTTCAGCCTTATCCACAGCCATCATCAAATCTCCAAAAGTGGTCCAACTCCACTTTTTTAGGGCAGTACCTACCTTTTTTTGCTTTAACCACAAGCAGATGAATGGGTCAGGGTGTGACTCAGTCTTCCAGTTCTCCTTAACAACTTGCAAGAAGTCCTTGTGCTGTGACCAAACATTCAGGTATCTAAAAGCACCCTTCTGATAGCTACTCTTAGGGCCAATGGTGATGACCAAAGGCCTGTGATCAGATCCAGCAAGGCTTAAATGAGTTGTAGTAGTATGCAAGAAGTTTTGGATCCAGTGGTCATTGGCTAAGACTCTATCCAGTCTTTCCCACAAGTTCTTCCTTCTCCATGTGAAGGCAGGTCCACTGTATCCCATATCAAATAAACCAGTATTTTGGATGTTATCATTGAAATTGGACATGATGACAAGATTGGGGGTTCTACTCCCCCTCCTTTTAGCAGGTGATGAAATATAATTGAAATCTCCTGCCACAATCCATGATTTATCAATAGAGCCTTGAATGTTCTGAAAGGTCTCCCACAGCTCAGTTCTAGCTGTTTTGGAGCATCCTGCATAAACAAAAGAAGAAAAACATACCATTCCTTCAGAACTGATGTTCATATGAAGAATTGTTCATACCTTCAGAACTGATGTTCATATGAAGAATTTGCTGGTGATTAACTAAGATAGAGCACTTCATTTCTTTCCTCCAGAAAACCAAAATTTTGTTATTTAAGTTAGTGAAATGGTTGAAGCCAGGAAACACATTAACTATATTCTTAGTGTTAATATGAACTATAGGTTTCAAAATGGTTAAGAACCAAAATTTGTATTTTTTGTTAAGATATTTTAATAATTTTAAAGATAAGGGGTGAGCAATCCCCCTTATATTCCAACACAGGATATTGATCATGGGGAGGGAGGAAAGGTGGAGGGTTGGGATCTAGATCTTGTCCTTCCCCTTAGTATGCTTCCTCTTCTATGGGTGCTATGGTCTTCCATTATAGCTAATTCCTTTTCCTTTCCCTTTTTCTAGTCTTCTTGTTTGGAGCTTCTTTTCTTCCTTGTTTTCTGAATCTGTCATTCTGATTCCAATTCTTTGTTTAGTTCTGTGACTTCATCATCTGTAGGGGAGGCCTCCTCCTGCCTAGCCTCCTGCTCCCTTATGTTCTTTATAGACATTATTGGATCCCTCAAAGTGACTTTCACTGAAATGTTCCCATTCTTAGTATTGCCTGTCTCCATAGTCTCTCCCACTGTTTCACCCTTCTTAGCAAGAGGGGTCTCCACTTGTTGATCTTGGGGAGTAAATTGATTATTGGTTGGAATGATTGTGTCTGCAATCCCAGCCACCATGAAGTTCTGATGGTAATCTTCTTTCCTGTTATCTCTCAGTAGATGAGTGTATTCAGTATTGGATTCCAACTATGTGTGAGTTTTTTGTCTTCTGTTAGGTGGATTTAGCCTGTAGCATTTCTCCCTAGTATGGCCAAATATCTTGCAATGTTGACAGTAATAAGGCATTTGCTCCATGACCACTTCCTGCCAAAATCCCTTCAATGAGTCTCCAATCAAAATCCTTTTCACATCAGGGAGATTTACATCCCTCTCCACCAATATAGCAATAGCACCTTGCTTTATTGTATGTAGCAGCATCCACCTTCAAAGGTGTAACTAAGGTGCAACCAATGTTGAATAAAGCATTTAATTTAAAGAGATGCAAAGGCAGTTTTGGTAGTTTGAACCAAATTGGCACTGTAGGGGGCTCCTGAGAAGGGTCATACTCAAGGGTCCATTTTAAAATTTTTATTTCAGCTCCTGCAATGATTATTGATTGTTATATATAAGAAAATAAAAGAGCATCTCGTGGCTCCCTACATGTTGATATAAGAAGTTGTTACAAAATGAGGGAGGGAAGGTGGATCCCCATCTAAAAGAAAAAAAGAAATACAAGTTAAGTCCTAGGGGTTCCCCAATCCACAATGCAACTCCACACAAAAAAGTAAAATAACAAAAAGGTATAAAATACCCAAAAATTACATTAGTTCAATGGAAGTAAAGCAGACATTTGAAATACATCCAAAGAAAAGAGTTGCACACAACATCATCAAAAAATGTAATCGAGAATGTCTTAAGCCAAAGTACAACAAAAGAAATTGCGTCGAGAGCGTTCTTTAAGTAAGTTCTGCTCTTTGTAAATAAGAACCATCGAAAGAAATGAGTCCCAGACCGAAAAACGAAAAGCCTTCAAAGGCCTGCACACCGTAGCAAGCGTAAAATAGTTCTGGAATTTCAGCAATAACTTCCTATTCCTAAATTCGAAGGTCTACCGAAGTCCAAATATAAATATAAAGTTACTGTGAAACAGCAAATATGTTGGAGCATCCAAACATATATAAGTAAAAGAGGTACCCAAAGCCAGATAAATACCTAACAGAATCCAATGCAGAGAATTAGTATAAATGATAGAAAAATTATAACTTGAAACAAAAATATTGGTCCTACGGCAGATTTAAGGTAGCATAGTAGTGATTTAAAAAAATTAACTGCTTCCAAAAAGCAAGGATCAAACAGAAAGTAGCATAGAACCGAAACCTGTTCAGGAAATGGAGTGAGAAATTGATATAGTAGATAGGAAAACACCTCAAATATATCGCAACAGGCCCAGTGAGCCCAAGAAAAATTAACTTCTGATATAAATCACATCTAATAAGTCATAATTCAAGAGAAATTGTAATTGAGGTGGGGGCAAAACCCCCACCAAAATTCTACTTAACCCCTGTTTAGCAAGCCACTTGGCAGGGGAATTACATTCTTTGTAAATAAAATGCATCCGTATTACTAAGTGATGCTTTTAAATAAAATCTCAAATAATGTTAAGCAAATAGAGAATATTCCATGAGATTGGAGAGGCCTTGTTGAACATATTAACAATAGCAATTGAATCTGATTCAATATATATATCATATTGAAACGAAAGATTACAGCGATCTGTAAAACATACCAAATGGAGAAGCGTTCAGCTTCTAAAGGTGTGGAGGCACAAACAGGAGAGGCAAAAAAATTGAGGTAGCTACCCCTATTATCACAAAAAATACCACCCCTCCCGATGTCATTAATAGTCCAGCTCCCATCTACATTCAGTTTCACCCAACCAACAAAGGGGGTTGCCACCTTAGCAAAGATGCCCTCCTACCCCTCTGGGGGCAAGTAGAATGTATCAAAAGGTGTCGAGAGACTTTGAGAAAATAAACAAGAATATAGGAGATGGTATTAGCAGGTGTAGGGGGCGTGCTTCATAGTTATTAGCATTTCTACCAGCTCAAAGGAACCACCAAAATAACTAGAGACCACAAAATAACTAGAGGAAATGGTTCCAACTTACCAACATAAATAGGTGCATCCTTCCAAGCAACCAAATATTTATCCAACTCAAAATAATAATTCAATTTATTCCAATTAATACCAAAATATAGGCCAACCTCATGCCAAACAATACGAGCATAATGACAATCAAAGAAAATGTTTGAAGCCAATTTAGCCTCACATTTGCAAATGTAGCACCTCGAAGCCATACGCAAGCCTTTAAATTTAAGAATATCATTCAATGGCAAAAGCAATAAAAATTATCACCATAAGAAAAAAAATATAGAAGGGGATAAAAAATCATTCCAAAGAGTTTTAGTCCAACGACAATGAGTAAAAACATGCATATTTTGATACAAAAGTTTAGTGATGGAAGTATGAGAGGTGAATTTCCACATAGGGGTATCCACAATAATGCATGAAGAAAGTGGTATTTTTGTAACATACCCAGCCTTATCCCCAACCAAAGCCCTAAGTTTAGGCACATCCCAAGCACTATCGCGCCAACAATAAGAAACAAGGACATTGTTATAAAAAGCAGAATGAGGCATAGTAGAAAAGTCCTCCAATCCCCAATGATCAAACCAAAAGGATAAATTCTCATTACCGATATCCCAAAATATAAATTTTTGTGAGTCAGGTTGAACTTTAATCACAGCTTTGCAAAGTTTAGTGTCTCCCATTTTCCATTCAACTATAGTGGGGTGAACATGGGTGCAATATTTTTTATGAAGAAATTGAGCCCATAGCAACGTACCCATATAGAGTTTAAACCAAAGTTTACAAATATTGATCTCAATAATATGATTAAGATTCTTAAACTCTAAACCACCAGCAAAGAGAGGTTTGTAAGCCTTATCCCAAGTAGTCCAAATTTTTATATGACCAAATTTTTCTATGATTATTTTCATTTTTATATGATTATTTTCGGACCATAAAAATTTATTAAAGAGCCTCTCCAGAGTAATTTGAGTACTTTTTTTCAAATGTAAAACTTGAAGAGCATATAAATGAATGGTGTGAAGAACACCCTTAAGTAAAGTAAGGCTGCCTCCATTAGAAAGAAAAGTGTTCCTTAAATCATTTTTCTTTGCTTTTCTTTGCTTTAATTTTTTCCACTACATCATCCATTTGAGATTGCCTTTTCCTACCCCGCAAAATGTTGACACCCATATATTTAAGTGGAAGGGAGGCCATCTGACGAGAAGTATGATTGACAGCCCAGGTGGTAATGGTAGTGCTGACATGCTTACTAAAATACATATGACATTTAGATGTGTTAAAGGTTAAACCCGATGTGAGTTAGAAGTGCCTTAACATTCTCATCAAATGTTTGAAAGCGTTTTTGCTAGCATTAGAGAAAATAGTAGCGTCATCAGCATTAGGCAGATGACTGACCATAAGCTTAGATTTGTGAGAATATTAGGTGTAAGGGTGAACCATCTGCATTTGGTTCATAAGATGAGAGAGGTAATCAGAAGTGAGAATGAAAATCGTTGGAGAAAGAGGATCACTTTGTTTGATACCCCTTAAGCATGAAAAAAAACCATAAGATTTTCCATTCATAAGAAAGCTGTAGTAATTTTGAGCCAACCAGGTTTGAATAATGCGACAAAATTAAGTAGAAAAACCTCAAGCATGAAGAATGCATAAAATAAAATTCCAATCTATACATATATATATAAGTATTTTTTTTAATAATTGTTCTTCGTATTAGAAAATAATAAAACTTTAGAATCCTACACAATCTTATATATCATAAATCAAGATAAATGTTGGTATTAGATGAAAATATGAAAATGAATTGAACCAAAAAATGAAACAGACACAACTTTAGATTTGGCACCTATGGTACCCTTTTACAGAGCCATAACACCGACGATGCCATTGGGGTACTGACAGTGCCCAGTGCATTTTTGGCTGTCAAGATGAATTTTGCAGACTTTGGCAGGATTTCAGTTCAAAATAACTACCTAGAAGTCTTTTTAAAGGCATGAAAACTATTTTGGATGACTAGAAACTTCCAGATTTCGAAATCCATGGCTTCCAATTCCAGAAACACTTCAAGTTATGGAGTTTTCAATAGAAGAAAGTTCATCAATTTTGACGTGCATAGATTATACGATAAAGTCATCACAAAGAAGAGACTTATCAAGAAGAGAGGCTTTGTCAATCATGGATTGAGTAATTCAAGTTCTCAAATTAAGAAAATCATAGTACAGAGACATTGGGAAATTCTATGCTACACTACCGCTGCAGTAGTTGTAGTAGTTGTTCTAGTGTGGTAAAAGA